GGCGATCTCTGCAGGCCCAACATGTGGGTGTAGTGGTGGTGATGCTGATTTGAGGCGTGGGTTAGGGTGTGGGGACTGGGGACACTGCCACGAAAACATCACATCTTTGAGGATATTTTTCTTTTTGTAATTCAGAAAATTATTTGTCATGTCATGTTGCAGTGTGTGTGTGTGCTGTCACTTGAATTCGGTTGTGTGTCACGTGGATATTGCTGTGTGTGTGGCACGTGAATGTTGCTGTGTATCACGTGAATCCCACTGTGTGTCACGTGAATCCCACTGTGTGTCACGTGAATCCCACTGTGTGTCACGTGAATCCCACTGTGTGTGTCCGACAGGAGCTGTTGGTTCGTCTGTCGAGAGAAGTGGAGGAGAGGGATGCACGTGCGAAGATAGACGGAGAGGAGGAGGAGGAGGGAGACGTGAGGGCACAGGAGGGAGGGGAGGAGGAGGACGGGGAGGAAGAGGAGGAGTGGGAAAACAAAGGTGAGTACGCTCCTCATGCCATGGCTGGGACGGACAGCTGGTAGTTTGATTGGTTTTGTTTTTCCTCTTGTTTTGTTTTTCCTCTTGTTTTAGTTGTGGGGTTTTGCTTTGCTTTCTGCCGGATGTTGTTGCTGTTGTAGTTTTCTGTTGTTGTTTGTTTTGGTAGATGTTGTTGCTGTTGTAGTTTTCTGTTGTTGTTTGTTTTGGTAGATGTTGTTGCTGTTGTAGTTTTCTGTTGTTGTTTGTTTTGGTAGATGATGTTGCTGTTGGTGTCTCGTCTCTTTCGTTGTTGCTGCTGCTGTTGCTGTGATGATGGTGTTCTCTTCTCGTCGTCATTGTCGTGTTCCTCCTTCTCCTCCTCCTCCTCCTCCTCCTCCTCCTCCTCTTCCTTTATTGATGCTCTCATTAGTAGTTTCTATATTTACCTAACTACCTACCTATATACTACATACCTACCTACCTACCCATGTCTACCTACCCACCCACCACCCCCATCCACTGGCCTACCTACCAACCAACCTACCTACCTACCTACCTACCTACCTACCTACCTACATACCTACCTACCCACCTACCTACCTACCTACCCACCTACCCACCTACCTACCCACCTGTCCTACCCTCCAGCTGTCTGTGTCACCTTCATGTCTCCCACCTACAGCCCGGAGGATTCTGTTCACAACAGTTTTGTCTTGACCGACACTTTATCCCGAGGAGTCGCTCACTCGCTCGTTCGTTCATTCCTTCGCTCCTTCGTTCGTTCGGTCCTTCGTTTGCTCGTTCTTCCGTTCGTTCGTTCGTTCGTTTGCTCGTTCTTCCGTTCGTTCGTTCGTTCGTTCGTTCGTTCTTTTGCTCGTTCTTTTGTTCGTTCGTTCGTTCGTTCGTTCGTTCGTTCGTTCGTTCGTTTGTTCGTTCGTTCGTTCGTTCGTTCGTTCGTTTGCTCGTTCTTCCGTTCGTTCGTTTGCTCGTTCGTTCGTTACCTGACCATCGTCTGTTTCCCTCCCCCATCTGACCACCCCCCTCCCCAGCTGACCAGGACAGAGCAGACACCGGCTGGATGGGCTGCGGCCACCTCGGGCACGCCCTGACAACGCCCCGCTCAGATGTCAGCGGACAGCGGCCTGTTCTCAAGACTTCTGGTGAAACTACGCTGGTGAGATGAGTGGAGATGAGTGGAGATATAAGATAGGATAAGATAGGATAAGATGAGATAAAATCTCATGACATAACAGAACTGAACAGAACAGAACATAGCATAAGATAAGATAAGATAAGATAAGATAAGATAAGATAAGATAAGATAAGATAGATAGGACAAAGAATAAACTGCATTGATCCGCCTCACAGAACCCTCCCCCCTCCCTGCTCGCACAATCCCTCTTACACCACCGT